GGCGAGGCACGTCCTGGAACCTACAATGGTGACTTAAACCCTGAAACAGCGGCGTGCACGGCGCTGAGCCCGCAGGCCGGGTGCGCGCTGCGAGCACCCCGAGCGGCGGAGGGCCCTCCGCGGGGAGCCTCGCGTTCGGGGAGCGTCTAGACGCCGGGCCGTGTGATCCGGCGCTGCCTGGCCCGAGGTGGGGCACCGGAAGGCGGACAGACTGACACGCCAGCGCGATCAGGTTTGAAATGAAAACCGCCGCCACTGGGCCCCAATTAGAGGCCAAACCTTGTGTGTAAACAAGCAATAATTAGCTTTGGTAACAGAAGCGTAAACAGCATCATCATCCATTGATTCGCTAATTGCCCTGCGGTCCCATGACAATAGCCTGTGGATCGGACTGACTCTGCGAACCCAAGGCACAGGTTAAGGGGGACCGCACTCTGAAATGGGGTGGGGTGGTCAGCCCCCCCCCCGAAATTCCCTGCCAACACCCCCCCCCCCAAGACCCTCCAGGCTTTCAGATTCCTTTTCTTTTTTCGATTCCTTTTCTTTCTGGCTGTAAATTCAGCTCCCCTAAAAGGAGGGAGGGCCGGGCTCACGTTAGGGTGGCAAAGGCTTGTTGGTGGCGGGAGGATTCAGGTTGCTGTGAAAGGGGTGGTGGCCCCCAAGGCCAGCCGGGAGCATTCAATCCCCAGATCTGCAGTTTTCAGAGAGCCGCCCACCTTCAGGCCAGAACTCACCCGGCCGGAAGTCCCCTTCTTCTAGGGGGCAGTTGTCCCCTGATCCCTCCCATCAGTCACTTCCTGTTCTAAGGCCAGTTGAAGTGCAGCCAGTTAGACTCCCAGGTTGCAAGGGGGCTGGGCAGTCGCCCAGAGGCCAGCACTGGCTCGGGCCCCTCCACAGTCCAAGGGCATGTCCAGCTTGCAGGGGCGGGTCCAGCAGAAGGTTCTCACGGAAGCACGCGGGAGCTATGCAGTGCCACCGATACCAGGCAGCTTTCTCAGCTCTGGAATTTTCTAAATGGGAGGGGTATAGGGGTGACAATGCCCCGGCCCTACCCCACCCCAAAGCTACATTTGCATAGCACTTAACACAGCCTTGGGGAAATGTCACAAATGTCCACATCAAAGCTAAGCCCGCGGTGGAGGCCGAGGGGGAAGGAAGGCGGGACCCTAGAGCATCTCAAGGCTGCCCAGCCCCCAGCAGCACCTGGGAAGGTGTGGCCGCCATGGTGACCACTTGGGTCAATCCAGAGAAGGTCTTGACCCATTTTCCGTGGAGGCCCCAGGTCGTGACCAGCTTTATCACTCTCCCCTGGGGACCCTGAGCTCAGGGCTAAGTCACCCTGAGATAGAAGAGTCACTGCATCCTGATGGTGTCCCCCACCCCACCCCCCACCCACCTCCTAGTGGGCCCAGAGACAATACCTTTGTCAAGGACGGGCCCAAAGATGGCCAGGCTGTCGTCTATGGTGGTGCAGTTCCAGCGGCGGCCCCGGAACTGGTGCTGGCACTCCTGGATGCCCAGCTTCACGCCCTCCGCCACGCTGGGCATGATCTCGATGTAATTGCGACAGAAGCGCAGTTGCTTGGGGACCAGGCCTGGGATGGAGCCGCAGAGCAGAGGCTGGGAGCCCAGGGACGTGTACTGCTGGCCCAGGGCCAGGGACCTGTGGGCACACGGAGGACAGTGGCACTGCCGGCACAAAGCACAGAGCCCATCACGGGCATCGTTTCTTCCTCAGCAGCCCTCCAGGGTAGGTAGAGCAGCACAGGGGCCGTGAGCCCGAGCCCAGGCCCTGAGAACCCTGCACCCGAATGCTGCCCTCGGTGGCAGGGCTCTGATCCAGGCCAGGTCAGCCCTCTGGCGTGGACATCTCCAACGTGCAGGGGCCGGGGGGCAGCAGAAACCTCCAGTGGGCACCCTTGGGGACCATTGCGATTCCATGAATGAACCAGGGACTGGAAGGATGGTATTGGGGCCCAGGTAAGGCCCTCCCAGGCTCCGGACTCGTTTCCCTGAGGGGCATTGAAAGGATTGGTCTGGGCCACCTCCCAGGGAGTCTAGGTTTTGGGGGCCACGTGAGACTGTCGATGACCCATGGGAAGGAACCAAACCTAATAGAAGGAGGACCCCCAGCCCCAGCTCAGAAAAAGCAGGGACGCCTCCGTCCCCACAGGGAGTTGACACACAAAGGGATGGTGGATGCCTTGGGAAGAGGGTGCAGAAGACCCCGGGCAGATCGGGAAATACCACAAAAAATGAACCAAGCGCCGGCCATTTAAGAGCTCTTACCATGGGCTCGTGATGGGCACCATGGAGGGGCGTCTGCCCACCCTCCTTAGGCTGGCTCTGGGCTCCGTTTTCAGAGGGAGGAGGCGGCCCCACTTCGCTGTTTTTTAATTAATTCTGGGGAACCAGGTCTGGAGTCTGGATGGTAACATTTATGAGACATTTCTAGATCTTGAACATCAAGCTCTTTTAAAGAGAAGGGAGGGTGGCCTACAGGGCTGACTGACCACAGGGAATGGCTATTCCTAAATTCCTCCGTGCGGGGCACTGGGCCGAGTCTTTTCCTTGGCTCTGCCCGACTGAACCCTGATAATTACCCTCTGACAGAGGAGGGACGGTCATAGCAGCCCCGTGTCAGATGGCTCAGCCTTGCAGGTTGAGAACCGAGCCCGGGCCACAGAACTGCTAAGGAGTTGCTCACTGGACCCCATGCCTTCCGACTCCAGTGCCCATGGGACAATCCAGTTGTGCCACCCTTCCTTCTGGGCAATGCCTGCCTCGGTCCCCAGGGGTGGGGTGGCTGCAGGCCTGCCCCAATGCACCCTGGGGCTCAACACTGAGCCCACCCACGCCTGGGTGGGATGGAGCGGGTCAGCCCGGAGGCCTCTGATGGGCACATGCCCACAGCACCGGACAGGGCCCTGCAGGTTGTCCTCTCCTGCCCTGCCTTGTTTATAGTTACAAGCAGGTTAGCGTGCTAACAGCGGTGATCGAATTGCTGCTGCTTATTATGTGCCGGGCTGGTTCTGACTGTTCCCATTATGTAATCCTCACATGGTCATCGTCCCATATCATAGATGAGGAAACTTGAGGCCAGGGAGCTAAGTGAGCTGCCCATCTGCAGAACTGCAGAGTGTGAGAGTCGAGCCTCCCTCCCAGCTCAGACTGCCTCTCCGTGTGCATTTAACCAGCGCGTCCAGCCCTGGCCCAGCAGCCCTGCAATCACTGGGGAGGGTAACTGAGCCAGGGTTCCGCGCAGGTGGCTCAGCAGAGCGACTTCCTGAGGGAGGCTCAGGAGCAAGACCCCCTGGGAAGAAGCCCAGGCCTTTCCCACTCCCCCTTAGGACCCAAAGCCCTGTATGGGGACAGCTGGAGAGGGAGGCTGAGGCAGGACAGAGGGCGCTGCCACCCACGGCCACAGCTGTGTTTGGTCATGAGTGTGGTGGCGATTCCCCGCCCTTCCCCGTGGCCTGGCCCAGTCCCTGACTATCTCAGAGCAGCACAGGGAGACCTGGCACCCAATTCCCAGCCTCGATGTCCCTCCTCTTTGGCCAGAGCACTCCCCGGTCTCCCCCCGCAGGTGCCTCAGTCCCTGCCTGTCCCTGGAGTGTGGACTGCTGGACTGGCCCTGCAGTGCCCACGCTCTCCATGAGCCTGGCCTCCCGTCCCCTCTGCACACTCCAACCTGGGCCGGCCTGTCCCACATCACCTCTGGCACCAGGAGAGTTGCCCAGCGTCACTCCCCATTTATTGGTCTGCTCACCAGCCACGCCGGGTTCCCAAGGCTCCAGCCTGCCTTTACCCAGAGAGATGAAAGCGGGGCCCGAGGGGCACTCAGGGATCCTCCCTCCTCCTCCCCCCATTACTTTTCTTCCTCCTCCTTCTCCCAGCCTTTGCCTTGCACCTGTCGGCACCTCTGCAGGCCTGGGTACCCTCAAACCAAGTGGGAGGCTGAGCCTGGATCAGAATCAGAACCTACGAGAGAAGCCCGAGGAGAGGGTGAAGCCCATTGTACAGATGAGAAAGCAGAGGCCCCAGAGAGAAGTGACTTGCCCCAGGCCAGACAACCAGATGTATGGAGCCTGGTTAGCTGGCTACCACTGCACAGAAGGGGGGCTGAGGGGTGGGGAAGCCCCTGCTGGCGCTTCATTTCCAGTTGGTGAAGCTGGTCCTCACCCCAACCCTCCAAGGGGCTCCCTGCTTCCTGGTTTCACTCCCACAGGGTCCTAGGCAGCCTGCCCAGCCCAGCAGAACCCCAGCACTGGGCACTGGGACTGGCATCGCTCGCAGATGCCATGGTCCCTTTCACTCCCCCAAGAGTCACCAAGCCCTTGCTGGCTGAGTCCTTCCTACAGCCCAAGCGGATTTTCATATCCAACACTAGCGATAAGAATGGCAACCACTTATTGAGCACGTCCATGCCAGGCACTTCTCTCGTTTAATCCTCACAATAGTTCTGTGAGGTGGTGCTGTCATCCCGTTTTCCAGATGAGGAAACTGAGGCTCAGAGAAGTCGGGTGACTTACAGAAGGAAGTTGCCAGAATTCAGACCCTGGGTTTGTCTGACTCCCAGTGCAATGTCCTCTGAGAATAACGCCCCGTCTCAGAGTCGATGAGTTCATTTCCCCCACCCACCAAACCCCGTCTCCTTTGTGCTGCCCCATCCAACCGATTGTGCCGCTGGGAGCCAGGCTGCCTTGGTTCGAATCCAGCTCTGCCATTTCCTAGCTGTTGATCTCTAGCGATTTACTTGACCTCTCCGTGCCTCCGTGCCTTCGTTTGTAAAGTAGACACAGTGGGAAGCATCGGCCGTATGAAACACTGGGCACGCAGAGAGCGCTCAGTAAATGGTGTTCGTTGTGGTCACCATGTGTTTGGGGGCTGTCCCCAGCACTTGGTCTGTCCCCGGCCGGTCATGGACTTCATTCCTCCTGCCCTCCCACCCCTGACTTCAGAGAACACATCGCATTGCCAGGGCCCCTTCCCATCCATCTCTTGGAAGGATGCTTGGAACAGAGCAAAGCTGGCCCCTTGCCCGGCAGTTCAGTTCTCACTGGGGTGGCTAAGCAGGCGTGCGATCTGGCTGCCCCGTAAAGGTGACCCAGAGGGCAAGGGAGGGCATCACGATGTTCCCACTAAGCTCCATTCAAGGTGTCAGCTCCGATCTGGACATCCTGCCAGTAATTAGCCAGGGTTAGCTCCACGGGCTGGTGCTGGGCTAACGAGGCTGTGGCCGCGGGATTGATTTCCGCAGGATGGCTGCCCTCTCCCAGACGTGCCCTGCCACCCCTGACTCAGCCAGCTGCCCACACGGGACTCCTGTCTGCGATTCCACCACCACAGACTCAGGCTAATTGAACTCACAGCTCCTTGTCCCCGTTATTGAAGGGCACGATCGCGTGGGGGAGGTCACACAGAGAGTGAGCCTCGTTCTCCTCAATTCTTTGCACCAAAGTGAGTGTGAGTGGCTTTGATCCGATTTGTCCCGGCCGTTGTGAGTGGCTGGCAGCCCGGCTGTTTCATGCCCGCCTGCCTTCGCACACCCTGAGCCCTCCACCTGGAGCGCCTGCCCACGGCCCAAGCCCAGCAAGCATCTTACCCATCCTTCAACCTCCCAGTCCAAAGACTTTCCTGGGCTCCACACAAAAGTAGCCTCTCCTGTCTCTGGATTTTGCCTCTACCCTTTTCCAACCTTCTTATCTCAAGAGTGCTGTTTTGTTTCCAATTCCCTCTGGCTGCGCTAGTGTAAGTTTCTTGAGGCTGGAGGCTGTGTTTCCATTCTCCCTCAACATCTCCTCCATAACACACACACACACGCACACACACATGCACACGCACACACATGCACACACACATGCACACGCACGTGCACACACACACAGACGTGAGCACGTTTGGTCTACCAAATAGCCAGGCACATGGTAGGAACATGCTGATTCTCAAGGGGAGGGGGGATGAAGGAGCAAGCCCTTCCCCAGGCCAGTCTGCTCACCCCCATCTTGCAGCCTCACCCCCACTCCCCAGGCCTCCAGGCATCCGGAGGTTCCACCTCCACACAGAACAAGACTCCTCGGTTCCGCTGAGGAAGTTCCTACAGTCGGGACCTGAGACAATGGCAAGGCTCCCAAGGGAGCTAGGGGCCCTCCTGGTGCTGGCAGCTGGTGAGGGGGAGGGCAGGGGGCACTGCCAGGCCTTCCCAGCTGGGCAGGGGCTATTTATACCCGGCTCCTGGCCCTGCCCTGCCCAAGTGCACTGCCACCCTCCCCTAAAGACAGCTCATCCTCCACCCCCACCACCCACCGTGTAACCGGGCTAAGGACAGACACAGGCGGCCCGGCGGGTGGGCAGCGGGTGCCAGCAAGCACCAGGCTGCTTGGGAGACCTCCATGTCCACCTCTCAGACAAAATCCCCTCTCCTCACAGGCTGGACTTAATGAAATACTGTGCACAACTCATCAGACTCCTCCCGGGTTATTCACCTGGACCCTACACCTCCCGTCCCCAGAGGCTGAAGGTGGGCCTGCATGGTGAGCACAGAGCAGAGATAAAACTTTTAACCAAGGAATTCAGGTCAGCGTAGGTGCTGAACTGACTTGTGCACATCACAGACGGTGAGACTCCACCAAGTGCCCCTGCAGTGTGTCCTGTGCTGAGACGCTGGCAGTGTTGACCCCCCGATTCTGTCATCCACCCAGCAGGGACCCGCCTGCTGCTGGCTGACCGGGGGCTGTGCCTGGGGGGTGGGGAGGGGGTGCCCACAGGGCTGTCCCCACCATCTTTCCTTTAAGGAACCATTCAGGTTGGAGTCCTGCAACCGATAAGGTAGCCTCCCCTGCACCCAAATGTGTCTTTATTTTTACCTCGGACCCTCCCAACATTGTAGGATTTTAGAGATTGAGTGGGCCTTAGGCATCATCTAGGATGTTTCTTAATTGTTAATCATTTATTCCAAATGCACACACCCCTTCTCTCCTATAGCTACTTCGTCAAACAGACCAAAAGAGCAACCTGTTCTTCAAAAGGCTAAACACAGAATTACCACATGACCCAGGAATTCTACTTCTCGGTATCGACCCGAGAGAATTCCAAGTAGGGACTCAAACGATACCTGTACACCAGTGTTCACGGCCGCATCACTCACAGTGGCCCAAAGGTGGAAGCAACGCAAGAGTCCATCAACAGATGAATAAAACACAAATGTAGTGTGTCCATACCGTGGAATATTCGTCAGCCATAAAAAGGAATGAAGTTCTGATACATGCAACATAGGTGAACCTTGACAACATGGTGCTACGTGAAATAAGCCAGTCACCAAAGGACAAATGTATGATTCCACTCATATGAGGTACCTGGAATGGGCAAATTGATAATGACAGAAAATAGACTAGACGTTACCAGAGGCTGGGGAAGAGGTGGGAAATTTATTGATTGAGTATGAAGTTTCTGTCTGGTATGATGAAAAGTTCTGGAAATAGTGTTGATGACTGGAAACATTGCAAATGTACTTGATGCCACTGAATTGTACACTTAAATATAGTTAAATGGGGGGGGGGAGGCAAAGGCCTAGAGCCCCATCCCTCAACCTTACCTTTGCCCTCACCATGGCCCCTCTGCAGAGAGAACCACGGGTCTAATCCCTTCCTTCTCTAGATGGGAAGACTGAGGCCCAGAAAGGGTCTGTCATCCTCGCCCCCCCACACCCTCCCACCAGCTTCGGAACTCCTCCCTCCAGTCTTGGGGTGAGCTCCACGGTCAAGCCTCCCCGATCGTGTCTTTCATGGAGTCATAGTTCCCTTGCCCTCACCTTTCCCTATGGTGAGGCATAACCTCACCTGGTCCCAGACAGGGCACCTTAAAATTCTAGCCCAAAGAACTAGTGTCTCTTAAAATGACTGCCCTGGGGGCTGGGAAGGAGGGAGGGAGAGAACTGGGGAAGGAGTTGGAAACCATCTCCTTTGTGGTCATTTGTCTCTCTCCCCCAGAGTGGCCATCGTGTTTCTGGAAACCTTAAAATGGCCCAGTGTTTGGTGCTCTACCTGCTGGCTCCTGGGCAGTACTGGAC